AATGATGTACGGCGCCTTTTAATTGGACACGGTCTGCGTGATTGCGCCTCGGCCTTTTGCCTCTCCCCTCTCCCCTCTTGCCTCTGGCACTCGCCCTTGCCCTTGCCCTTGCCCTTGCCTTTGACTTTGCTTGCGGCTATTGCCCCCCACCCGAGGCGCACACAAGTGCCTCAGTGTGCGTGTGTGTGTGTTTGAGTGCATACATATGCTTGATAGTCGTGTACTTAACTATTTTTGTAGTCTATTACGTCATTTGTGAAAGCGAGTTTCAAGTTCAACATCATCATTATTATCTTTCAATCATAATATCCATCTACTTCAAAGAGTATTCCCCGGAGCGGGTTCTACTGTTATTTTAGCTGAGAGTGTGTATGTTCAGGGTATGCACGGTGTCTGCTAAAAGTCTATAGACGCCTAAAGTTGCCGATAGATTAAATAATCAATGTACTTTATAATTGCTAAAAATTAACCAAAATTGTAAAGTTATATACGGCACGTCGAATATTTGATACCCTTTTAGACATTTCGCTTTTGTAGATGTGGTAAAATAAGCCATACAAGAACCTACTCCCCGACCGATCGTTTCTATGGCAGCTATATGATATAGTTGTCCGATGTTGATAAGATTTTGCATATAAAACCAAAAAGTTAGTCATATTAGCATCTATATTTTGATCGAAATAGTCCCATTCGACCGATTTCGATATCTGTATGTACCACCTGCAACAGAAGGAAGGACCTATGCAAAGTCCGAGGACGATAGCTTTAAGACTGAGAGACTAGTTCGCATAGAAACAGACGGGCGGACAGATGGATCGATGCATGGATGGTTTGTTTGGAGGGATGGAATGCTAGATGGACAGACAGACGGAGGGATGCATGGACAGACGAATGGATGGTCAGACGGACGGAGGGATGGAGGGATGGATGGACGGACGAACGAATATGGCTATATCAACTCTACTCCTGAAGCTAATCTAGAGACTTTATGGGGTCTTGACAAGCTCGAAATACCCCATCAATAAACAAGCAAAGCTCGCAGGTAAGCAGCCGAAATTGCCCACAAATAATTCGTAAACATCCAATATTATCCATGTGACCCTAGGCTGTTTCAGAAGAGTCCAAGTCTAAGTAGGAGAGAGTCCAATACTACGAGGCTACGGCTGATCCGATCCTTAACAGATCATGTTTAAGGGGAGCACTAATTGGATCTCGATTCAGGCTTCTGACAGCCTTAAGTTGAGCTGAAATAAACTAGTATTAAAAATATCAAAAAATATATACATAAAATATAAATATATATGTATATAATTGTTACTAAATCTTGCCCAAAGTACACCCAAGTTAAATAATACAAGAGCTTTCTTTTTTTCTTTTTTTTTTGTAGTTTACATTGCTTTATGCTTTATTTCGGCTCAAAAAAAATCGGTTCTCTTTTTGTTTTTTTGTTTTTTGTTTTTTTTTGGTTTTTATATATATGTATATATATAATTTGTTTTCACACTATTTGTTTTGGCTTGGTTTTTGACAATTTTGTATTAGTTTTTGCTCACATTCTCAGGATCGTACTCAGTGTGCTTTGTGGTACTTGGTATTACATATGCCTGCTCCTAAGTCGTACTTGAGTGTACTTTCTTATATGTGGCACACGCATACGTATGCCTCGCTTTGTGTATATATATATATATATATGTTTGGTATATAAGTTCCTTGCTTATCTGGTTGTCATAAATTCATGTTGCTGCTGAGAATGTTGCCCCAAATTTCGTTTATATATGTATATTTTTTTTTTCGATTTTTCTTTTTCTTTTTTTTTTTGGAGCGGTTTGCCGTTTACTACACATTACCATTTATTTGAAATACATTTATATAGTTTAAGTAAAATTGATATACGTATGCGAAATGGCAAAACCAACCGAACATTTAGTTATGTTTTTTTTTTTTCATGAATTTTCTCGCCTTTTGTTATAATACCATTAAAATCTTATGGGGTGCACCTTCTAACGCTGCGCTATCAAAAAATTGTTACTGTATATTGTATTACTTGGCTTTTCCCTTTGAGTATGTAAAAATGTACAAATACACACACTCACACACACACTCACGCACTCACACACACATGCACACCATTACGCCGAAGCTGAAATCGGAATCGTAAATTCGAATTGCCCTTAGCCAGGTGTTGAGAGGTACACGGTTCCTTTGTCTATTTATTGTTAGTATTTGTTATTGAGCTCTGGATATTTAATACTACTTAGAAGCATAGGGCTTTAAAGTCGGCTAGCTTGCAGCGGATATACCCTAACATTTCGGCTGCAATCGAGTATGCAAGTTAAACAGTGTCAATTTGTCTGTCCATCTTAATTTGTAACGAGAAACTCTAATCGCTGCAGATGTGACTTATATGGGAATCTATATAGCTATATCTTTATATATATATAAATCTATAGATCGATCGCAAGTTGAGCTTTTATTGGGATAAGCATCGGATAGCCTTAATTGCCGGAAAAAGCATCTCGATTAAGATACTCAGCATTAGGTTTAACGAGTCGGAAGAGCTGTCTTGGGGCTGATGGAAGAACAGTTGCAATGTTAGATAATATCGGATCAGACGGATTGCTATAACGTATTTGAGGTTAGGTCTGCAAGGGTATTTGAACTTCGGCTGGCCGAGCTTAACAGTTTTGCTTCGTGTCACTTTTTTGTGCCTTCAAAATTGATTTAGTTCGCTTTGAAAATTTCCATTTGCCTTGTCCTGATTTTGCCGGCCTTCAGATACATTTACTTGGCAACATTTTCATAGTTTTCTTTTCTTCTTTTTTTCGTTATTTTTAATTAATTAATTGCTAAAATTTAACATGTAGTTGCTACATAATTTAAATATGTTTCGCTTTAAAGTCAATTTGAGAAATGAAACAAAAAAAATGCCTGTTTCGTGTATTGCTTCAAGTTTCAAAATTGAAGAGGAAATAATACAAATAAAATAAATGAAAAGATCGCTTAAAACATTGTGTTTGTTTTTTTTTCGTTAATTTTGTTTTTTTCTTTTATATATATATATTTTTTATTTTAAATAATTTTCAATTCGTTTTCGTTGTTGAAATAGATGCACAACTACAACTACATTTAAGGATGAGAAACATTTTTTCGATTTCGATTTTGTTTTTTTTTTGTTTTGTTTTGTTTTTAAGGGTTAGTGGGCGGCAGTGCCACGCCTTGCGTCAGCCACGGCCACGCCCAGTGAGACACGCCTGTTGTCATGTGTGCAACAAATTGTGATTTGGCCAAAATGTGTTTGTTTTTTGTTTTTTTGTAAATATTCAAATTTAAACTGATGACAACATGGAAAAAAATTCGCTGACGCGGAAGTGTGGGCGGGGCGGGGGGCGGCTGCGCTAAATATATATGTATAAGTATATATATATATATGTGTATATATATAATTTGTTTTATATATATAAACAATTTAAATTTAATGTACATTTAATTTAACATGTTTGCAATTCGTATAAATTGTTATTTGTTTAAGTTTTACGTATTTTTGAGATATATATATATATATATATATATGGATTAATATATATATATATATATATATATACTATATAATTGATATATATTCTTGCCAGAGTTTTGTTAAATTTATTTGTTGTTTCCTTCAGTTTTGTTTCCTTTATTGTTAACGAGGTAGTTGCCTGAGCTGCAGTTGATCATTTGTTACATTTATGGTTATTCAGTTATTTTTGCTATATCTTTCTATAAATAGAATCGGCTGAGGTATTCGCGCTTACACTAGGATTTGCCATACATGCATATATGAACATATATATATATATATATATGCATATATGTATGTATGTATAAAAAAAAAAATGTATATATATATATACATATATATGTATATTAAATTTAGTTTTAACCTTTGTTTTGTTTTTGTTTGTATTGCACAGTTGAAACATGTTGAAATCAAAATTCCAATCGAAATCAATTGAACTAAAATTATTGCCTTGTGCTGTTGTCCTTCTTTTTTTTTATTTTTATTTTTAGTAAACCTTTGCTATTTAAGCTTAATTATTGTATTAACTTGCCCAAAAAATGATATGCACATTGTTGATATAAGTATATGTATATGTAGGAGCTTATCTTCAAAAAAAAAAAACAAAAAAAAAAAAAACGAGTGAACTAATTTAGATCAGAAACTATAATCGTAATAACACATACACATTTTATATGTACAATGCATTTCTAGCTATTATTGACTTATGTACGTGTTCCATTCATTTTAGCACTGTTTTAGTACACCGAGATTTAGTACATTTACATTGAGTTTGCTGAAAGTGAACCTTTATTTTTATTGTACATTTAGTACATGTACTAAATTGGCTACGGCTTTTAGAACGCTTTCATGTAGTTGTTTCATAACCTGCGACACCTCAATATTTAGTACAGCTTTCTTTAAATCTCAAAAAAATATTTGGACCTGCCGCACTACTGCGTTTTAGTACAGTTTAGTCTATTTTAGTACAATAACGTGTGCGTGCGTTAAATGACAAACACTTCGTTTGGTTAGTTTTGTTGTGTACTATATTTAGTACACATTTCAAAACAATGTACTAAATAGACTATTTGTCACCTTTTAGTACAGCTGCGTGGATGTGTTCTAAATTTAGAGCAACCACAAAGCTACCCTGCCGAATCGTTTGGTTAGCTGCTGTACTAAATTTAGTACATGTACTAAATTGTGCTGCTCAGCAAAAGGCTGTGCTTTAAAAATACTACATAAAATGTTGCGTAACATCGATGCCAACTTTGATGGAAGAATTTAGCACTTCCTGGCACATTTTAGACGCACACTTTTGGAGTGAGGTCTTCGGGTTGGGATCGTGATTGGGTTTTGGATAGATTAAAACTATTCGATACATAATCGTACAATACATACGTAATTTAGATAGTTGGTATAATTATAATACTAAACTTCGTCGCCCCGGACTTGCCGAAATAATCAATTTACTTTAAATTTTGAGCCGTTTCTGGGCATTGTAACTCCTCATCTGGTTTGGGTTCTGCGCCTGGTATTGGCCCTCGCCTTGGAGCTGATATTGGCGCTTCACTGTCGGCCGCCGGCTGCTGGATGCGGCGGTAGCTGCAACAAGAGGAGAGCAATAATAACAATAAGTGATGAAGCAGAAGCCGAGAGGAAGGGAGATGCGAGATTAATGCAAATGTGTTTTGCCAGTAATAATAATTATCCAGAGAGACCCGCTAATTAGTCAATGTCGATACCCAGAGCCCGATCTCTCAGCCCGAGAGCTCAGATCTCGCCTTTCAATTCTCAGTTCTCAGCTCTCAGTTGTCGATTGTTGGCCCGGTTGTTGGCAGCGCCCAGCTGGCGCAGGCGAATGTAAAATTGTTGTACGAAACGAAATACAATAAATAAATCTTTAATCCAATTATAGCTCATTATGCTCATATGCACACACCAACACACCAACACACCAGCACACACACACACACACACACACACAAGGTGTGCTAGCATTATTAGCTTAGGCTAACGCAGCACCATAATCTGATATCTATAAGATGTCTTTCTCTTCAGTTTCAGCGTAATTCTTATAATTCGTATAATTCACTGCTTTTTATTTTCGTTGTTTTTCTCGTTCATTCTGGCCCACAATCTAAGCGCTACAACAACAGCAACAACAACCAGAGTTGAGGCAACAAGCACGGCGATACGCCTTTTTTTTCTTTTCTAATTTCGGTTTGCCCCTTCTTCACTGTGTGTGCGTGTGTGTGTGTGTGTGTTTGACAGGCCATACACTGCAGCAAAAAAGGCAGTTCAATTCAATCATAACAACATTCAGCTTAAAAGTCGCCTTGCCTCTACTTGACATTGCCACAGGCAACAGTTATGCGCTTACATCTGTTTAACATAAGCTTAGACTGTTAAGCTAATAACATAGCTGTTCAGAATCGTGCTAGGTATTCACAACTGTTAAATGCAGTACAATACAAAACATGTAACATGTTAAGTCGATGTCCATATTCAACCTATGGATTCTGCTTTAAGGCATATTGCGCTGAGCTGCTTAACATATGCTAAGACTGTTAAGCACTGTTACCAACAGTGGCAGGTACTCACAGCTGCTATATGTTATGCAATGCAAATAATGTTAATAACAGCAGCTTAACATAATACGCCACTGTTATGTCTAAGCCTTTTTATTAAAAACTGAACTTATAACCATGGCTAAGGAATGTTTTTCGTTTTGTTAATCACCCGTCGTTTCGCGCAGTGTAAGGCTTCAGGAAAATACTCAGCCACAGCCGCGGCGTTAAAGAGCAACCGCAGCAAGGGTTTGGCTTCGACCAAAACGACCCTTACATGCGCTGCGCATACAGTGAACACTTGTTACAGCAGCTGCTGCCATTAACGCGCACACACACACACAGACACAGATTTACCTCTACAGCTATGTCTAATGCCCATCGATAGGCTATGCATGGTTAGCTGCAGCGCATGCGGTTGTCGATAAGACAGAACATTGACTGACAAGCACGACACACGCTTCACTGGCAATCGGCCCAGTTGCTCGGGGCCTTACTGTAATACATACATGCATGCTGCAAGCTGGTCCACCTCCACCTCCTCCACCTTTTCCCTCTAGCATAGCTTGAGAAATTATGCCTTTTAATGGAACATATTCCTAGTATTATCTGTATTGTGAATATACTTAACAAATCTATTGCCAAGTCAAAATGTTCTAATATTCGTTTTTATGCCCTGAATCCTTAGCAAATGTATAGAAAGGGTGTGTTAGTTTTGTGCAAATGTATGCAACAGGCAGGCGCAAGTATCTGCGACTTCCTGATGCATATTTATGACCCGATGTGCCTGGGCAAGTCCTAGCTGCAGGGTAAGTCCTAGTCGTGCACTCCCGACTAGCGTACTCTTACTTGGCTTAACATATTTAGATATATAACTATTTTGTTTTCTTATTTTTTTTTTGTGACATTTTGCGTCTCGAAGCGCTGGGCGTGCTCCCCATTGGAGCAGAGCTGCTGTTGTTGTTGCTGTAGTTGTCGCTGCTTCATTTAATCTGCAGCGCATCAGCAATTAGCGGAAACTCGTCATAAAAAACAACAAGCAGCGCACAGCACAAAATCGGATAAAGCGCCGACAGCAACAACAGCAGCAACAACAACAACTACACAAAACTTTAGCCTAAGCTTTTTTTTGTAGATTTTTTTTCTCTTAATTTCAACTCGTTTTGCTTGCCTCTCGGCTCTAAGATTTATTTCGCATTACTTTATATATAAATTTGTTTTTTTTTTGGTGTTGTTGTTGTTGTTTTTTCTGATTGTGAGACAAAAATTTCTGTTGAATTGGAATTAGGACACACATGAAATAATAACAACAACAACAACAACAACAACAACAACAAGCAGCAAAAATGTAGCAACAATTTGTGAGCAACAACAAATGTTGCTTGGCTTGGCTTCGCGCAGCTGTGCGCCATTTGACGCTCCTTCTTAGCCACACACACTCACACACACACACACACACACACATGTGCGTGTGTGTGCATATGCCACATATAAATTTTTATTATAGTTGCGTATATAAAGCCTCCAAGCCTGGCAGCCTGTGTGCTTTATTTTTTGTATTATTTGCAAAATTTTATTTGAGTTTTTTCTCCAGTTTTTTTTGGCGCTTCGTTTTGAGAGGAAGCTGCTAAGGCCAAGTTCGTTGCCTAAGTCTTTTGTTTGCCAGCTGACAGCGCGCGTGTACGTGTGTGTGTGTGTGTGTGTGCGCATTTGCATTTGTGGGTGGTTTCTTCTTGCGAATTGATTGCAACAATTAATAATAATTAAACAAACATATGCACATACACACACACACACACACACACACACATAAATATGCTAAGTATGTGTGGGAATTGTTGGGCCATCAAAAAACAGGCTAAAAACAATGCACGGCAACTGTTCAAGAATGTTGCAAGTTTCTTTTCTTGTCTTCTTTTTTTTTGTTTGTGATATCATGAGCCAAGCAAAGAGCTGCTCCTTGTGTGAAGAGCATGACTTGCTTTTTACTATATACTCCGAAGAGCAGGATTTGTTTGGGGAGCACATTAACAAAAAGTCTATTTGAATGATTTGATATCTTAGCTTCAATATATATATAATACAAATATATCAATAACAGATCGTCAAGTCAAGCCTTCTAGCTATATTTAATTGTGAGCTTAAGAGTTTGTTGTGTCGCAATCAATAAACATTCTAATCTTAACTAATTCAAAAGCAACATGCAAACCTCGCAGCATTGAACTATATACAAAGAGTTTGTCTATTCAAAATCAACTCCAGCGCGAAATTACAATTTATTTTTGTAAATCTGAAGCAAGTCCTAAGCCAAAACATTTTCAGAAATAGACGAACCAAAAGCTGATAGATATAATTTGCAATAATGTTTCGATTCAAAGTGCAAACTTTTGATCTAGCTTCGAGGCTTAACATTTATCTAAATATAGTTCGTGTATGACAATGTATCCCCCCCACGTTACACTTATCTAAGCATATTTTTCTATATGCCAATATGCTGTCATACATTTGTCTAACCACATTCAGTATATGCCAACTTTTGAGTAAATATCAAATGTAGATATTTTCTATTATGCCGGACAATATATGACAAGCTAAGGCCAAGTCTGGGCTTAAGTACGTGCTTGGCTTAAGAATTGTGGATAAATAAAAGTTCAGATCGAATCATGGATATGATTTGTGAACTTAGACTCGATTTCCAGTGCCAGACACCTAACTGATATTATTATTGATATAATATATATATATCATATTGTCTTGTATATGTAAAAGCCCTATATAACAGACTAGAGAATAAAAAAGGAGAGGAAAAACATTTTTTTGTTTCGTATTTGAAACGCGTTCAACCTTCTAACTACCCATTATTGGCAATTGTATATCACAGTTCGGGCGGATAGATAGAAATTAGGGGAAGAGCATGAGGCAGAGGCAGCATTGGCAGATGCTCAAGATTCGAGCTCAAGATGTTGTTGCTGATCATGATGATGATGATGATAATGATGATAATGATGTTGATGATGCAGCATGGCGGCATTGCTATGCTCTGCTGCTGCTGCTGCTTCTGCTTTATCTGCTTCTTCTAGTTATTGCTGGCATTGAATTTTGTAAAAATCAAATATCTAACGCTATTTCGGGGGTTGATTTTTCTAGCAATACGCTCACACGCAACATTTTTCTCTCTAAAAAGCCAAAAACCAAAAAAGGTTAAGACAATCTCTTTCTCTGTGTGTGTGTGTGTGTGTGTGTGTGTATCTACACTTTATAGACAACACAATATAAGCATCAGGATGCTGTCAAATGTTTGGTAATTAAAAAAAAAACACACACACACACAAAAAGTAAAAAAGAAGACCAAAAATGCGGCTCGGAGGAAAAGTCAAATGGAAAAGACAGTTAACAGTTTCGTGGAAAATGTGAAAATGCGTCGCTCTCTGCTGGTGGGTGGGGCGTGGTTGGTGGGAAGGGGAGGGGGTTGGTTTGTGGGTCTTGACATAATTCACATTTGCCGCTAATTTGATTGAGTTTTTGTGTTAGATGTCAAGCTCGAGCTCGAGCTCGACCCGACCCTTTGGAATTAGGCAAATTTTAACCTTTTTGCTGTGCATTCTATTTTTTTTTTTTTTGGTTCAAATACAGTAATGCGCGGCGCAACATGGGTTAATAAGAAAGTCAATCAAGTGTCAGACAGCGGGCACAAAAATAAATTACAATATTTAGAACAGATATCTAATATACCATATAATATATAGATATATATATATATATGTGTATATTATTTATTAATATGGGGCGAATCAAGGCAAAAGGTTGCCTGAGCACAGTAAAACAGTTATGATAGGGGCGGGGCGGGGCGGCAAGGATTCAGCTGCAAAACAAAAGCAAAAACCGCGAAACAACCAAAAGGAAAGCAAAGAGCGAAGCAACAGCTCAGATGGAAGCCAAACACATGTGCCCAGAGGCGAGGCGTGGCAAGAAGAGGCGGTGCGCATCAGTTGGTTATAACTACAACAAATTCAACCGGCAACTGGAACTGAAACT